TGAAATGACTTTGAACCCAACCCAAGCACCCTAACCAAAGCCCTTTTTCATAACTACTTTAAAATTAGGGCCAGGGATTTAGCTCAGTGGTGCTGCTGCCTGCCTCGAAAGCACAAGGTCCCGAGTCCAATCCCCGGTACCAAAAATAAATAGATAAATAAATAAATAAATTTTAAAAATAAAATTAGTGCATGAATCATGGCTTCAACTTCTGATGCAAAAACCCAAGACGAGGGCCAGGGATTTAGCTCAGTGGTCCAGAGCCTTGAAAGTGCAAGGTCCTGAGTTCGATCCCCAGTTAAAAAAAAAAAAAAAACCCAAGATGAATAAACTATGAAGATTCCTCAAATATCAAGTGCCCTAAGAATTACAGAGGTCATATCATTTTGTAATATCACTATGTAAGGGAAAAATTTCACAGTCAAAGGTATTGTTTACGGTTGCTATTAGCAAAGTTTGCCAATTAAAAGCAATGCTACACTGGCACAAACAAATCACTTTACAAAAAGAAGCCCTCCTCCTTGCCTACTGGGGATCCACCCCAGGGGTTCTCTACTATTGAGCTACATCCCAGCCTTTTTGGGGGGGTGGGGAGGTACCAGGGATTGAACTCAGGACCTTGAGCTTGCCAGGCAGGCCCTGTGCTGCTGAGCTACATCCCTGACCCCTCTTTTTTTTATTTTGAGACAAGGTCTCACTAGGTTGCCCAAGCAAGACTCAAACTTGTGATCCTCCTGACCCAGTCTCCTTCAGTGCTGGGATTACGAAAAATATACAATACTATCTGACCTAGTTACTTAACATAGGAACCCATATTGTATCTTACATTACTTGGAACACCAACAAGTTAGTCATACAAATCACAACTACAACTAAAACTCCAAGTTAGTAAGTATATTTGCTATGTGGGCATGTTGACTTATTTGTAGTCAAATATTCATTAAAATGGCATAAGCAATCTCAGCAATTTTTTAACACATGCGTAAACCCCTACTTCTTCTCATTTAAAAAACACAGAGAACCCTGTCAGTCAAGAACCTAAGTACAAATGTAACAGGCTCACCAAAAGCACAAGTCACAGGATAAGCCAAGCTTCAACTTTGACTTATATATCAATAATTAAGTTACTTAAATATGATTCAAGAGGAGTTCCTAGCTGTTAAAAAAACTCTATGAATAACCACAGCACAGCGTTATCAGAAACTGATTTTGTAAGAACAATAATGTATTGTTTCAGGATATGTGTGTGTAATGCAGTTCACAGCTAGGTTGCACTAGATTCACTTAAACATCTGAATTTTCTGCTATCTTAACCTTTAAATCAACTGCAAAAGTAGCTGCCCAAAGCAGTTAGCAGGAAAGCATACTATTCTCAAAAGAATTTGGCACAACATGACCTTATTTTATTACTTAAATGTTTCTCTGATTACTGAAATTTGAACAAGATGTTAAAGATTCAAAACCAATTTGAAAGTAATAGGTGCTTATGAAATCCATAATAATATTCAACATATTCGGGGGGTGTTGTTTGTTTCTTGAGACAACGTCTCGCTATGTAGTCAGGCTGGCCCTAAACTCACTATGTAGCTCAGGCCAGCCTCAAATTCACAGTGATCCAACTGCCTCGGTGTTCTGAGTGCTGGAGGTGTGTGTCACCACACTCAGCACATGTTCAGGTACTGAGAAAGGCATGGATCATATTCTTCTGTGTGTGTGAGTGTGAGTGTGTGTGTGTGTGTGTGTTGTACCTGACATACTGCAGTTCAGTATTTGCTCAATATTACGTATAATTATTTCAGTACTTGGGCCTGGGATTTAGCTCAGTGGCACCAAGCCTGCCTTGAAAGCTCAAGGTCTTGAGTTCGATCCCTGGTACCAAAAAAACAAAAAAACAAAAACATTTCAGTACTGTATTATGATCCCATTTTTTTCAAAATTCTATATAAATCAACCAGTAAGTCAAAGTTGGAAAAGTAACTGGTATATTTTATTTCTTGATTTGAACTGCCCTTTTAGTTGAAATTAGTTCTCAGTTACTCTAGTCTCCCTCCAACAAAATGCTGGCAAAGAAAACACTAGACTGAAATTACCTGATTCTATTCCCTCAGAATAACACATTTGAACTGTTCACACCTCATTGTAACATATGCGATGTTAGAGACTATGCTTCCAGTGTGGCAAGCAAAATGAATCAGAAACCACATTATGATTAGCCAGTCTGGAACAGAAGATGTTTATTCTAAGACTGCAAACTCTCTAACCATTCACTGCAATAAAACAATTGAGATGGGCTAGGACCTGTATAATAAAAGTCCTTCATGGCACTTATCCAGCAGATTATGTCTGAAACTGTGTGTTGGTTCAGAAACCTTTGAGCAGAAATTCAGCCCTCTTCTTTGTTAATCTTATACATATTCATCTCTAATTTTCTCTGGCCTCCCTTTTTAAAAAATCAAATCCATAAGCCACCTCTAAGACTTACTTTGTGTTGATATTACTATTGAACACATTATTGCAAAGCAACGCTATTAGGTATGCAAAACTGCTGATTTTAGTGAGATTTTCCTCGCCCAACTCCTCCCCAACCCCTCTGCCCAGGTTAAATCACTTAGAAAAACCTCTCCGTCCAGTGCTGGGATTCTACTTTCTATAGGATAGATCTGACTTTTTAAATGATAGTAACAACTTTTTTTAAAAGAATGCTAGTGTTATATATAGTTTCCAACACCTGGAATGCAAATAAACCCTCTTATTTTGTGTATTATTTCAAGATAAATTATTTCTCCTGAAAGATGGATGACTATTCAAAGACAGCCTTGAAAGTCATTATGTGTAAATACTCCTGAAAACAGAACAAATTAATGTCAAGACACAGCCAATACCACAATAAAGCCTCGATGTAACCCGTGCCTGTCAAAGGGCATCTGTATCAGCAGCTCAGAGAAGTGTCATTTGCAGAAAGGCAGTGCAACCGCATTTAAAAGAAAATCATTAAGCTTCAGCCTTTAATCCCCTCCCCCACCCTCTCCCTCGGGCTGGGTCAGAGCAATTAACCAGTAGACGGTGCTATTCTTCGGCCCGCTTGTGTTCACACCAAGCTCCATTCCTACCCAGAACTGGGTTTACCCAAGGTAGCCTCTCAGCCCTGTCCAGGGCTCAATGAAGCCTCTAAGTCAGCCCCAAAGCAGAAAACCAGATCTTTTCTTAAAAAGCCCTATTTACGAAAACAACCACCTCACTGAGATCTAGCTCAACAGCCAGCAAACCTGACAATCACACACCATGAGACTAGAGACCACTAATCTCTCTCTCTCTCTCTCACAAACACACACACACACACACACACACACACACACGCTAAATATTAACCTCAAATACAATCTCTATCATTTTAACTGAGACAGAAAAGAGGACCTGGGTTACATTCATTTCCTTAAGAGCCAGGTGAACAAACCACTGTTCCCAACAAAACTGGGGCAATGAGGGTACAAAAGCACCAAGAGCTAGCTAACCCTAAGGGCCGCGCCACGTAAAAAGGGGTTTATCTCTGCATGCACAGAAAAGAAAGAGCAGCAGAGGGCAGGGAAGAAAGGGTGGCAAGAAACGTGTCTGAGTGTCCTTTAATTTCCTGTGTACTCTTCTGCCCTGCAAGGTTGCAAAAAAAAGGCCACACATGAGAAGGATAAAAGAAAGCTGAACAAGAAAAGCACCCTCTCTGCCCCATCTACTCTCCTCTCTCCCAAAGAGCTGTGTCTGTCTGTGCAAACCTAGTCCCAAATATGGGAGACAGAGAATGAATGTGTGTACGGAAGAACAATGAGCCCTCAGCCTGCCATTGTGTGTGTGTGTGTGTGTGTGTGTGTGTGTGTGTGTGTATGTCTCTTTTCCCTTCGACCTCAACAACAAGGAGAGCTGGAAGCAAGGCTTTCCACCCAGGCTAGGCCATCAAAAGCAAAACTGTTTTATAATTTACAGTGGAATTAACTCAGCAAGCAAATCCGTGGAAAGAAACATCTACCCAAAGATGATTTTATTATTGTACAGATCCAGCCTTCCTCCCCTCCCCCAACAGACTGAGCCTAAAGAAACCAGTGTGCACCAGACAAAAAGGTCTCTCTCGAAATGGAACGCAGTTCTCAAAGCTGTCTGAAATATGAACATAGAATGCATTAGCTTGTGTTACACCAAGTTCGCCCTTTCACTAGTTGTCTTTTTTTGTGTTTAAAAAAATTGCTTTGGAGAACGCTATCTCAGGATTCATATAAAACTACTTTCTGAAATGTACCTTAAAATAGCAGCACACACTGAAACATTTAAAGCACCCAGTTTCTCAAGGACACATTTTGCTTAAATCAATGTTTGAAGTCTGTAATCCAGAAAAATTGTAAGCAAACCTTGGAAAAGAGACAGAGGAAAATGACAATTCGACAATGAATCATTTTGTTTTCCTTTCACCAACTTCTCAAGCAACCAGCTTCAAAGAAAACCTGCAATACTTTCCCCCTCCCAACACACACACACTCCACACACACGCCCCTCAATCTATGTACAACTACTTCTCTACTTTTCATAACCCTGAAAAAATAAAACAGAAGCCACCCTCTTTCCGACAGCAGAACTAAAAAGAAACGAAGAGTCCTATTCTGCTGCAAGGAATGTTTGGCTTCATCGTTTTGCGATCACACGGAGCAGAGAACCCGAGAGGAAGAGCACAAAGGAGGAGGAACCTCTCCCGCGTGTGAGAACGATACTTTCCTGAGAGCGCGCCTCCAGGACCCCTAAATCCGCACACACTCAGGAGATGCACAGCTCGGTCCCTGGCTTCCTTCCCCTCCCACAGTTCGGCCAGGAATCGAGTCACAGGAGTAGGTGTATCCTCGGGCGAGCGCGAGCCTAGTGGGGCGGGAGCCCGGTCAGGGGCGCGGGGGACCCGGGGGTCGGGGCGCGGGGAACCCGGCTCGACTCTGCGCCCGGCCGAGGCGGCGGTCGCGGTCACGTACCTTCCCGAGGGCGCTACACCATCCACAGAGGCGTGAGCGGCCGGCTCCGGAAGCGCGGGCGGGGAAGGCGGGAGCGGCGAGGCCGCGAGGTGCGGGCCGAAGCCAAGGGACCCGCCCGCGGGACGCGACGGGCGCTGGGGCTCCGGGCCGCGACCTCTCCGCGACTCGAGCCCTGGCTGCCTCCGCCTCCGCCTCCTCCGCCGCCTCCTCCTCCTCCTCCTCCCGGTCGGCCGAGCCTTCAGAAGCGGGAGCCCAGGATCATGTCTGGTCTGGGCTTTCGGAGGGCGAGGGGCTCCCTAAGGAGGGCGGTGATTTTATTTTTTCCTCAACTAAGAGAGAAAATGAGGCAGAGACAATGTGGGGAGCGCGAGAAGGGACTAGGAGGGGGAAGAGAAGGCGGGCACCGAGGCCCAGGCGGGCGAGCTACTCGGGGCGCGCGAGAGGAAGAGGAGGCTCCGGAGCGCGGGGGGCGGCTCGCGAGCGTCTGTGGGAGCAGCGGCGCCTCAGCGATGGTGGCGGAGCCGCGGCGGGGCTGCTACGCCGACCGGCCGCCCACTCCCCGCTCGGGCCCGGCCCACCTCGCAGTATCGCGCGTCACCATTGGTGCATCGCACCGTGATGCGCGCAGGGGGGCCGGGCCAATGGGAGGCGGAGGGCGGGCGGAGGGGGTGGGGCTTCTTCCCCCACCCCCCCTTTTTCCTTTTCCTTTTTTTTTCCTGGTTAATAAAATGAGCAGAAGGGAAGGCGGGGAGAGGCCGGGCCGGGGCCGCACGCCCCGGTCGGTGGCCTGGGCGGGCCCGGGGCGTCCTTGTTAGCGCCGGCTCCAGGCCGCCCGCCGCGTCCCTCCTCCCGCGGGCCCGGCCCGGAGCTGATCGCCCCAGACAGGCTGCGCGGCGCGGCCGATCCCGGGGGCCGCTGGCGAGGTCCAGATGCTCCTGTTACTACCGGGGTCATCGCTGAAGACGCAGAGTCCTGCCCCTGGGGAGGCACCGTGGGTCCCAAAGACTTGCCCTTTGAAGATCTTTCAAAATGAGGATGAGCGCTTCATAACGTTTTTTAAAAATAATGTGTGACAAAAGCTGAACTACATAAAAGAAGAGCAGAATTAGTAAACTGCACTGCTCATTGGAAAAGAAAAAGTCTCACTAAGGAATAAAGAAGAGACCATAACCACAGACACTGTGAGGATCCGAGAGCAGCATTCAGCCCCATCTCCTACATTGGAAGAATGGAAAAAGCCAAACATCCATCACCTTTTTACTTTGACAAATACAGTACTGTGTCCCAGCGACCCCAGAGGCTGATAATCACAGTGTCCTCCATGCTGAAAGGGGAACTGAGGAAGGCCAAAAGCTCATCCACCTTCTACTTAACGTAATTTATAGGATTGAGGGGTTTGGAAATTTTAATTATGATTACTAGTTTTTGAAATGCATGTCGTGTTTATGGAATTCTTTCACAGACCCTGGCGTGAATCCAGGGTGAATCATCAACCTATTGTTGGTTTGTTAATGTTCTGTAAATGCTCATTGGTGTCCTTACACCACACACTCCTCCCAGAGGAGTTAAGATCTCTAACAGAATAATTAATGGATAGAACATAGCTCAAAATAATTCATTCATCTATTTTGGGGGTGGGGACCGGGGATCGAACTCGGGTCCTTGCATTTGCGCAGCAGGCGGCAAAACCACTGAGCCAAATCCCTGGTCCCTCCCCTTCATCTATTTTAAATGAGGTGATAATTTTCTCTTTGGGATATTGATTCAGATTATAATTTCTACACCCACCCAATGATTCCTTTTTTTTTTTTTTTTCGGTACCGGGGATCAAACTCAGGTCCTTGCCCTTGCAGGGAAGGTGTTGGAACCACTGAGCTAAATCCCGGCCCCAGTGACTCCTTTTAAGAATAATTTGGACTCACAGATATTATTGAACTGTGACCCAAGAGCTCTAAAAACCAGAGGGTTCTTGCGATTACCTTTCTGTGTAACTTTCAGCAAGAAAAGAAAAAAAAATTATTTTTTTTTTTGGTTTCTTGAGATAGGTTCTCACTATTTACTTCAAGCTGGTCTCAACTCACTGGGATCCTCTTGCCTCAGCCTCCCAAATCCTGAGATTACAGGCATGCACCACCATGCCTAGTTAACAAGAAAATATTCTTTCAGCTCTAAGATGAGGAAACTAGTTCATGCCTCCTTATATATCTGGTAATATGAGAGCTGAACTTTACAGCATAATAAATTCAGTAAACAGCTTTCAGCATTGTAGATACGGATGGAGCTATTTAACCTCAGATTGAAGATAATGAGGGATGAAGTGTATGAGCTGATGGCTTCAGTTTGCACCACCATGGACACAGACAGCAGCACTATTTGCACTAAAGACTTCATTCTGGGGTGACCAGATGCACAATTGTGGGACCCACGCAACAGGCAGGAGAGAGAGTCACTCAGAGAGAGTTCCAGGGTTCCGGAACAACACTTGGTGCAGCAGCAGGAAATGGTGCTGTTTTGATATTCATTATATATGAATTTTCATATATGTATTTTTTAAGACATGGTCTTGCTCGATAGTTCAGTTCAGGCTGGACTTGAACTCTGTTAGTCCAGGCTGGCCTAGAACTCACAGTGATCTTCCTGCCTCAGCCTCCTGAGTGCTGGGATTATAAGTGTGAACCATGATACCTGGCTTCCTTTATTTATAAAAGTGTACATTTAGAGGTCTCCAAATTCTACATAATTGCAAAGCATCGTATTATGGTATCAGACCCTAAAATTAGAAAGTGACCTAGTTAACAACAACCCATGCACGGCCGGGAATTTAGCTCAGTGGTTCTGTCACCTGCCTCGAAAGCGCAAGGTCCCGAGTTCGATCCCCAGTACCAAAAATACATACATAAATAAATAATAAAAATAAAAATAAATGAAGCCATGCAGGACTTGTGGGCCCGCTGTAAAGCCAGAGAGCACCGTCTTCTACAGAGCTTGCTGTGGTAACCTTAACCTCCTAATGAGATCGCCGAGGAAGCCGCTGACCGCTGACCGAGCTTACGACATCCGGAGCACCACGCCCAGAGTGTTACATTCTTTCGCCCACTTAGGCTGGGCAACCACCAGTGAAGTGTATGATTATGTTCATTTGAAAGCTCAAGGACCTGGGGCTTAAGTAAGTGAAATAACTTGCTGAAGATTCAAGAGGTCAGATATCTAGTGAGGTTTCTTTCCCATGATGAAATTAGAAAAATTTCCTGTTCTTTTGTCAGCAAGCTTTAGAAAATAGATATTACCTTGGATACTGAAACTAAAAACATCAAGGACTTTTGTTACTTATGTGCCTTTTTTTTTTTTTGGTACAGAAATCGAACTCAGGACCTTGAGCTTTCGAGGCAGGCAGCGGAACCACTGAGCTAAATCCCTGGCCGTCATGTGCCTTTGTACAGGTAAGAAGGGACTGGCCAGGGGTTTAGCTCAGTGGTTCCACCACCTGCCTTGCAAGCGCAAGGACCTGAGTTCGATCTCTGGTACCAAAAAAGTAATAATAATAATAAAAAGAAGGGACTGATTTCTATACAGAGATCAGAGATACAATACTGTTATTTGAAAGAAGGCAGGGAAAGGGATTATTTAATAAATGACGTTGGGACAAGATGGACATAATGGACGTATGTGAGCCCTGACATGCTTTGCCACTGAACTACACCCCTAATCTTTTATTTTGTAATTTAAAAACTGAAACCACCAAACTGCTATTGCTTAGGCTGAGTTTGTTTATTATTGCCTTCTATAACATATACATACATGCACACCCTTTGGATATGCCAGGTATTTTAGAATTTTGTTTGTTTGTTTGTGACAGGGTCTCACTATATATTTCAGGCTGAAATATATTTTGAACTCAAGGAGTTCTTAAAATGAAACCATTCAAGTATTAGAGAAACATTAAAATATTTTTCAAATCATAGATTGAGGGAGTTCTTTCTAAGCATGAGAGGAAACCCAGAAGCTGTAAAGAAGAATTACCAATAAATTTTATGACATAAATATTTTACATTTCTGAAAGGCATAAAATATAGCAGCTGGGTGTGGCAGCGGCATCCATAATCCTAGCACTTACAAGGCTGAGGCAGGAGGATAGCAGTGAGTTTGAGGCCAACCTGAACTACACAGTGAGTTCAAGACCAGCCTGAGCTGTATTTCAAGACCCTGCTTCAAATAAATAAATAGGCAGACATAGGCTTCCAAAATATCCAGCAGCAGATCATCCACAAGGTTTCATGCCAAGCCCACTAGGTAGGGTGCTGAGTGGCGACTTCATTCCACTCTGTTCTGTTCAATTTTTTTTTCTTTTTCATATCAAGCATGGATAATTTGAATAATTAAAAGAAAAAAGAATCCAAGTTCTCTGAACATATGGCTGGTAACTAACCTTCCTAATTCAGCAGAAGTACTCAAGCTTTGGAACACGTGAGTTATTTTCCCATGAAACACTGTGCACAGGGTGAGGGTGTGGAAGCAACCCTGGAACAGACTGGAGCCGCTTCCAGGCCTTTTCTAGGAATTGGCGTCTGAGTGTGCAGCGCAGACTCGAGCCAGGTGCCAGCCCCAAAGCCCTGCGGCTGCACTTGTCCAGGTTGAGTTCCACTGGCTCCTCTGCGCTGCTGGAGCTGGCCCTGCCTGGACCACACTGGGTCACCTGTTTGCTGGACACCAGCCCTTCCCTGTCCCAGCCCCCAGAGCTCGACCCTGCCCCGGATTGGAATGGGGAAGTGGGGACTCGGCCTTCCTTCTTCAGGGCACACAGCAAGTGAGAACAGACACATTCAGAGCCAGGACATTCTCAAAACAAAGGAGCAGAACTCAGAAACCCTGAGTGAGGAGGGGGCTCAGTGGTAGAGGAGCATTTGTCTAGCAGGTGCAAGGCTCAGAATTACAAACCAGCCCTGGAAAGGGGCTGAGACAGGAGGATCGCTGTGAGTTCCAGGCCACCCTGGGCTACATAGTGAGATTCTGTGTCAAAATAACCACAACAGGGCCGGGACTTAGCTCAGGGGCTCCACCACCTGCTTCACAAGCACAAGGTCCTGAGTTCCATCCGGGTACCAAAAACAAACCAAAACAAAAAACAACAAATCAGAAACCCCTTTCCTTTGTTTGATCCTAGATTCTGTTGAATTTGATTTCAGATCACGCAGAGGTGGTGGGTACTGTTGCCCAAGGCCCCGAGGAGAGACAGCAGAACTGCCTCAGAAGCAGGGGCAGATTGTCGGGCTCCCAGGTGCCTGTGCTGGTCCCTTGCGGTTATTCTGAGTTTCCCAGGACTAGTGGAAGAACTGAGGGCAGAGATGCTGATCATCTCTGTCCTGGCCCCACCCCAAGGCTGATAATCCGGCGGCCCTCACCTCCCTCTTCCTGCCATTTCCCAGAGCCATGGAACTCCACATGTCCTGCTACAAACAGCTGTCACTGCTCACTGGGGGAGCTGAGCCCAGAAAAGCGGCCCTTCCACATCAGCTCACCTGGGAGAGGTGTTAGCATCATCCAGGGATCAGGAGCCCTAATAACGGGGAGTGCACAAACCCTGTTTCGTCTGAATGCCCAATGAGCAAGACACATGGGTCACAAGGGACCTCGGAGGGAGAAGCCTCCTGCTGGGTCTGGGGGGGCTCCCTTCTGTAATCCCAGCACCCAGGAGGCTGAGGCAGATGGACCTCTTTGAGTAGGAAATATATCTTAGATCCTAAGGTTATGAATGGGGGACTCAGAAGTTAACTGTATCACACTCATATGGCAGGTGCTATGTGTCCTCGAACTCAATTCTTTAATCCAGGCCCAAATAGAACAAAGAGGCAAATATTGCTGTAACCCAGAAAGATCACCACTGTGCCCCTCTGCTGTTCCAGCTCCATAGTCTGTGCCAGGCGTGCCCGGGGCTCTCTTAAAGCTGCTCCCTCATCACTCCACGTCACCACAGTCTTAAACACCCAGATCCTTCATCTCCCAGCCCCTGTATCCCCTTGCAGTACCCCAACTTCCAGAATAAATTCTGCTATGGTCACTTATTTTATTTGACTATTATTTTTTGAGGGAGGGGAGTTGAGGTAAAGTCTTGCTTTGTGTCCAGGCTGACCTTGAGCTCACTATGTAGCCAAGATTGGCCTCTAACTCGAAACTGTCCTCCTCCTTCCCCTCGAAATTCCAGCTCCCAGGAACCTCAGCTTGCGCTGCTCCTGCAGAAGCCTAGGCTGCGCCTGTCGACTGCCCACAACCTTCGTGTGCCCTCGCTGCAGTTCCCAAGAGGCCTGTGGCCACAGGTCAGCCCCGGCTGGTCCCCCCCACCCAAGGAGGCCTCTTGTGCAGACCAGCCAGTCCCAGGCCCCCAGGCTGCTCTTTCCTGAAGCCTCCAGCAGGGCACCTCCCTGCTGAGCCTGTCGAGGAGCACTCGGAGAGGTGGCTGCATCTTTTTTTCTTTTCAGACAAGAGTCTGCCTATGTAGCCCAGGCTGGCCTCAAACTGAAGCAATCCTCCTGCCTCAGCCTCCCAAGTGCTGGATGACAGGTACGCACCATCATGCCTAGACTTGTACGTGTGTGCGTGTGTGTGTGTGTGTGTGTGTGTGTGTGTGTGGTACCAGGGATCAAATTCAGGACCTTGCACTTTCGAGGCAGGCGTGGTGCCACTGAGCTAAATCCCCAGTCCCCAATTTTTTTTTGGTACCGGGGATCGATCTTGGGACCTTGTGCCTGTGAGGCAGGTGGCGGCACCACTGAGCTAAATCCCTGGCCCTAGCCTTGTACTCTTGACCACTATAAACTTTAGAAGAAGGATCCCTGTGACACTTGCCCCAAGAGGCTTTCCGACCATTCCAAAAGAACCTCACTTCCTTCCAAATAATAGAAATTCTTACTACACCCAACAGAAGCAAAGGCCCAGGAAAAATCTGAGGGATCTGCTTTATATGGAAGCACCACCCAGCACACCCACACTCTTACGGTGTGCACAACATGTGACTCTCAGTTGCTGCTGCTGGTGGGTTGTTTTGGCTTAAGATTGTATTTATTTGTTTGCAGTATGGATATCAAGCCCAGGGGTGCTCTACCACTGAGCTACACTCCAGCTTTTTCTTTTTGGAGACAAGTTCTCATTAAGTTCCCCAGGCTGTGCTCAAATTTTTGATCCTCCTGCCTCAGCTTCAGAAGCTGCAATTACAGGCCTGCACCAAGCCTGGCTGCGACTCTAATCCCAGGAAGAAAGAAAGCCTAAAGCTGGAGAGCCAGGGAAAGGCGACAGGACAATGTTCTCCCAGGACATAAAAACTTCCAGCAAGTTTATCACCACAAATGAAGAAGTGAAATTTATTCTCTGTAATGAAGAGTGAAATGCAGGAATAAAGAAATGAGGGAAAGCGGCAGACTCACAGATCCTAGTGAAAGGCCTGAAAACACAACTACCAATCCACAGAGTGGGACAGTCTAACAGAGAAAAATAAAAGAATGTTTTTAAGCTCTTATTTTTTGTCTATTAACTTTTTTCTTTTTCTTTGAGACAGGGTCTCACTATGAGGCTGGCCTCAAACTCTCAGCAATCCTCCTGCCTCAGCCTCCTGAGTGCTGGGATTACAGGCATGTGCCATGCCCAGTTTAAGCTTCTTCTTTTTTTTTTTTTTTTTGGTACCATGGTACCGGGGATTGAACTCGGGTCCTTGTGCTTGCAAGGCAGGCAGCAAAACCACTGAATTCCCAGCCCCAGTTTAAGCTTCTTTTAGAAGCCTGTGATACTAACAAAAATGTTCTCCCAGACCCAATACAGACAGCAAATAGTATATGTGCTGCTGAAGCGAGCACACAGAGAGCAAATAGTATGGGTCAGAAAAGCAAATGTAAAATGCAAAACTAAAGAAATTCTAGAAGAAAATACCTGAGAAGTTATCGAACATGACCCAAAAGCCCAAACTATTCAAAGACACACTTGACACATACTTTAAAGACTTCTTACTCATGGGCCAGGGATGTAGCTCAGTGGGACTATGCCTGCTTGGCAAGCACAAAGTCCTGAGTTCGATCCCTAGTATGAGGAAAAAAAAGGACTTCTCAGGCTGGGGATTTAGCTCAGTGGTTTTGCCGCCTGCCTCGAAATCGGAAGGTCCCGAGTTCGAGTTTGATCCCCGGTACCAAAAAAAAAAGAGAAAGAAATTTAAAAAGGCTTACAGGGCCAGGGGTTTAGCTCAGTGGCACTGCACCTGCCTGGCAAGTGCAAGGTCCTGTGTTCGATCCCCAGCACCAAAAAATGAAAAAAAATTTGAAAATAAAAAAGGCTTACAGTAGCTAGGTGTGGTGGCAAACACCTGTAATCCTAGCACTTGGGAGACTGAGGCAGGAGGATTGCCATGAGTTTGAGGCCAGCCTGAACTACATAGCGAGACCCTGTCTCAACCCCCCCCCCCGAAAAAACCAAAATAAATAAATAGAAAGGCTCACAAATCTATGCAGATAAAGATAAATTACCAGCCGGGGTGGTGGTGCACAACTACAATCCCAGCACTGGGGAGCCTGAGCCAGGAGAATAGCTTTGAGTTCAAGGCCAGGCTGAACTACACAGCAAGATCCTGTCTCAACATCCACACACGCTAAAAAAGATCCAGTTGCTGGTCAGGTTGGCTTCTCCTGTACGCTCTCTCCTCGTGTACACAACCACCATTTCCTGTGTTGTACTCACACAGCCTTTACTTTGGGCATGGCAGCCTTGGGGTCTTCTTCTTATTTGAGGCCATTCTCCTGCCTCAGCCTCCCAAGTGCTGAGATAGAGCGGTGTCCCACCACACCCGGCCCTGGGTGTGTTTTCAGTAGCAGCTGTCCTAATGGAAATGGACTTGAGGCAGTGTCCACAATTTAGCTTCTTGAACCTCTCCCCTCCAATAACCTTAGTCTCTTCCTTTCCCTCAAACTTTCTATCTTACAAGAGCTGCAACTCCTATCTGACTTCAATGCCAGGCAATCCTCCAAGCCTCCAATCATCTTTTCCACAGTGGCCCCTCACCTGCCTCGCAAGCACCCGAGTTTGATACCTGGTACCAAAAAAATCCAAAACAAAACAAACATCTTTTCCAGCAATTCCAACTTTGACACGGAATCCATCATTCCTTCTGTTTTTTTCTCTTTTAAGGATTCTTAAGTCCTTCAATCCTGAGGGACACCCACTTTGTGATCTGAAGAGATGACCTAGATAAACAGTCTGTTTTCACTTGCATTTCTACCCATTGCTTCTCCTCGCCAACAGTTTAAACTGTTTGAATTAATATGGCAGAACAAAAATGACTACTTAGCTAAAAATCACTAAAACGCATTACATGAATTTCTATTGTCTCATATAAAATAAATGTGTTGCTCTATAATGTTTACATTAACTAATATTTGTTTTTTGAGACAGGGTCTCGCTATGTAGTCCAGCCTGGCCCTGAATTTGAAGCGATCCTCCTGCCTCAGCCTCCTCAGTGCTAGGATTATAGGTATGCGCCACCACGCCCAGCTTTCTGACTTCATCTTTATACATCATTTACAGGTATCAAAGTATCATACTGTACTCAACAAATACGCACAATATTATGTGTCAATTAATACTCTAGATAAAAATTTTTAATTAAAAAATATTATGCCGAACATCTTAGTATGTGCATATAACCCTAGCTACTTGGGAGGCTGAGGCAAGAGGATCCTAAATTCAAGGCCAACATGAGCAATATAGTGAGATTTCAAAAACAAAACTGCCGGGGCCAGGGATTTAGTTCTGTGGCACCGCACTTGCCTCACAAACACAAGGTCCTGAGTTCCATCCCCGGTACCAAAAAAAAAAAATGCCAAGTGTAGTGGTGCATGCCTATAATCCCTGCACTCAAGAGGCTGAGGCAGGAGGATCTCCAAGAGTTTGAGGGCAGCCTAGGCAATATAATGAGTTCAGAGCCAGCAAGAACTACCTAGTGAGACCCAGTCTCAGAAAAAAAAAGAAAACTTGAGCTGAGGATGGAGCACCGTACTACGGTGCTCACCTAGCACGTGTGCAGGACTGGGTTCAATTCCAGAACCACCAGAAGAAAATCCTTTTTTTTTGGTACCAGGGATCAAACTCAGGACCTTGCACTTGTGAGGCAGGTGGCAAAACCACTGAGCTAAATCCCTGGCCCCGAAAAATCCTTTCTTTCTAGAGCACCTCACCCATCTCTGTCACTGCTCAGGAGCCTGGGCTTTCACACAAGGCACTGTCACTGTGTTCTGGTCCCCGAGGCAGAGCTGGAGAAGGGCTGGAAGATTTCCCAATGGTCATTTAATGTTCCTAGAGTGAAGCCAGAAGCCTCAGTGACTGGAACTTGTCACAAGGCCTGATGCATCCTTAAGAAAGACAGAAAAGCAGGGCATGGTGGCACAGGCCTGCTATTTTAGCATTCTCGGAGGCTGAGGCAGGAGCATTGCACGTTCCAGCCCAGCCTGAGTAATTTAGGGAGACCCTTTCTCAAAATAAAAAATAAAGTAAAATTGCCTTTCCCCTCCTCCATAGCCAGGCGTGGTGGTGCACGCCTGTAATCCCGGCAGTCGAGAGGCTGAGGCAGGAGGAGGATCGCTGTTAGTTCAAGGCCAGCCTGGGATACATAGTAAGGCCCCATCTCAAAAACCAAATAAATACATAAGTACAATTTTTTTTTGGTACCAGGGATTGAATTCGGGTCCTTGGGCTTGCAGGGCAGGTGGCAGAACCACTGAGCCACATCCCCAGCCCCTAAATACAATTTTATTATTTAA